AATAAAGATACGACGGATGCTCGTTTCATTCCTTCTGCGTCTCTCTACTATACCTACAGAGAAACTTGTAGTTTACAGGGTAAATAATTATCATTGGAGTACGCATAGAGAACAGTGGTATCGTCAGTAACAATCGTTGTTAATCGTTATTTGTTACTGCAATTCAATTCAGGTGTAAATGCCCAATATTATTTACTCAAAGCTTGCACGATCAATCTTCTGTCAGTTTTAAATCATAATTTTGACCTATCGCGTTTCGAACCGTCTGTCAATCTTACAAGCGAACCCCGTCTGATAACTTGTCAAAGCGTGCAGGAAAGTTTGACCATTACTTGACTTTGTTTGCTTTCCGCCTGGGAATTCTGCGTTTCCGCAGTGTTTTCAATACGAGCCACGTGCATCCAGAGAGAGCATAAAGAGAGCGGATGTTATTCGGTTGGTGAGTAGAATTAGCTACTTCCGCCTTGGCCTCGTTTTTGTACCTAACACTGGCCCGCGTTGACTCCAGTTAGAATACTTACCGGCTGCGTTGCCCTCGCGTCTAGAAGAGCACAGCTGCAGACTCTAGTTCCTCTTGGACTAGATATCGTTTCTCTTGATTTTACTTGCGAGATAACGCTCTCCTTAGGTGTGTACTCACGTAATGTGAGAATAAGATATCACTGGATAGACTTTTTACGCGAGGCAATTGCCCTGGTTGATCGTTACGTATTTTAGCGTTTTACCTACCTGACGTACTGTTAGTTCACCAACGGTCCGCGTGGATGGCGCCACTCTATCCTAGAATTCCAAATGGCCCGTTACATAGAGATTTCCTTACAGCTAAGCTTTCGATGATTATGTGTAGAAAACAATGGAAATTGATTTTTTTTTAAATACCAAAAGTCTGTTGTACGCTGTTACTTGTAACTCATGGTCGTTCATTGTCATTTTTATGAAATAGACAGTTTGCATTGTGCGCAGGGTGCGAAAGGGTCGGAGATTAAGCAGAATGGTAGTGTCTGATCGCGGTGGGACGTTAGGTAGGGTTACCAGAACTGGTAAGAGGGTAGGTGGTAGGTCGATCGTAGGTCGTTGCCCGGAATGGAAGGCCGGTAAATATCGACCTTTGCTTCGTGCAGCTCCGTTTCCATCCAGACATTCGTTGTCCTGGCCCACCCAGCCACCCTCAACCGCCAACCTCCCCCCTTTAAGCCCCCCCTCCCCCCAGAGTGCCACGGAGTAGTACTCGACGCCACGAGGTCTCCGTGTGTCTTGCCAAGGTCAACGCCTCGACGTTTCAGTTTCTAAGATTACTCTCGAGTACCTGCGCACCATTGTCTCGAATTCACCCCATGGATTGTATATCCTGACCGACTCGATACAACGTCTAGTTAACCCAACTTGACCTAATCTATCCTGTCAAAAATTACACGGAATGTAGTTGAAAATTAAGAGAAATTTCGTTTCTATACTTTTTAGATTATAAACAACTAACGAGGATCTCGTCGTCGTAGGTTATGGTTGGGCAAGATGCGCAGCGAGATACATTGTTTTGGATTGAGACCTGGTGCGTCGTCGTATCGTGTGCGCCTCGATGACTCAGCGGGCGTGTTTTCGTATGAGGACTTTGACACTGCTTGGTTGTCTGGCCGCGTAGCGTTTGAACCGGGACGCCTGAAGGTTGTCCGAGGTTACAAATCCTTCTCCTCCTCCGCCACCTCTCTTTTCCCCTCTACCGCCACCTCCACCAGCAATAACGTTCCGCAGTCTACGCACCGGCAGCTCTGATATCGACGCCGACGTCGTCGACGTAGGGAATGCCTCCTAACTCTTCTCGCTTCAGAATCTCTCCCATTCCTTGGGTGTCGCGGGTTTTGCCCTCTACTATCTAGACGGCTAGACGGTACCAACCCACTCTCCCTTGTTCTTTTTTGGCCACCCGTCCTTTACGCATCTCCTCCCATTATACTCACCCGACAGTCTTTCGTGCACGCTGCTGCTATACTTGCGTGCGCCTGCGCGCGCCCGACCAATCTAATCCCACCGACTGAACGAGATTACCTCTTTGGCCCTCCCAATGGCAATCTTTCTGTCATTGTCCTCACATTGTCCTCACGATGTCCTTACCCCCGTACCCAATGAAGTACAATTATCGCGGTACCCATCGGCACCGAGGTAGACGTCTAGCTAAGTGAGACAGCGTAGTTGAGGACTTTTACGGATGAAACAAAAAATTGGTCGTGTCCTGGCTGACCTTAGTGTGCATACTCGGGGAGACGATAAAGGGGAGCATTGTTCGTAACGAACCACCTATAAGTATTAGAACGATACGTTTAATTTCATCGATCTTTATATCTTCTCACTCTCTCTCTCTCTCATGTACTTACCAGTAGGCTTATGTGTCACGGTAGTTTTTGGATTTGAAAATTATTTAGTACAACCATCGTCTAGCTACCCTTTCGCCATTGTCTTACCCAACTAGGCGATTATTCTTTCTGTCTTTGACATCCGCGCAAGACACGATGCAGATGTGCCTTCTATTTTGGCACGTGGATACCACTTGTCCTTGTCTATTTGTAGATATTTCTTTGTCTCCCCGGTTAACGACGGCTAACGCAGCTTCCTTCGTGTACTTTCTGCTCCCGGTGTCACCGTTCGTCCTCCCGATGTAAACTGGGTCATGCAACCCCTTCTTACGCCTATCCTAGGTGAGTGAATCTAGGCTGTGGGCAGCACTAGTGCATATAGGTATCGATCGTGGCACGGTACTGCAGCCTGGCCTGGTGCACCGGTAAAACTAGGTTACCCACCTACCTACCTATATACGTTTCAGCCACTACCTTCCTGTAGTGGCATCTCTACCCACGCACTTCTATCTCCCTGTATTTTGCACGTACCGGTAACGAGACAACGCCCCTCACGCATCTTTGAGTACTGGTTTTTCTTTTTTTCAGCCTTTTCTTGTTAAGGCTGGTCAGCAACACTTGCCACTCTAAATAATCTGCAGAGACTCTGGACTGATGCATTGTTTGATTTTAACCTTCTTTGCTACTGTACAATGTCCTTTTCTTTTTGTACATGAAAAGCTAACTCGACTCACAGCTCTACTACGTTATAAATATGATTTTTAGGCTTTGGCAATTTCTTGGAAATTTACATGCACCGAGTCGTTGACTTATACAGATAACTCTTTCTTCTGTTTAGTCTTGGCGTTCTTGGCATCGCGGTCATGTTTGTGTACATACATATATTTATCACACGGTTGCTCAATGCGATGATATAGACTTTCGGTTTCGTGAATTGTATCTACTGGATTCTGTAATTTTACTTTATATAGCCGTAAGATCCTTTTCGAATCACGTGGCACTGAGTTATATTGCGATTACGATTCTTAGTACATAAATGATCGAGTCTGTTTGTTTAGAGTGATATAATATCCATTGTTTTTAATAGATTCGTTAAGAGGAATTTGATATCTGCATTATCGGCTGATCGTTTCATGTAATTCCTCGATCCTGATACTCTTAGTAGCAATCATTGTACCCCGGGTAGTGACCTGAAGAATTTTTGAAAGTTTAATTTTTATCAAACGTTACTGAGGCACTTAAAGACTTATACTGTTCTTCTCAAATAGATGTGAAGGAATAGAAAGGTTTGCTTAGAAAGGAACGTTATTGATTGGTTGTGCTTCTTCTTAATGGAAGGACACTCTTCTTAACAGGAGGTATCGATTCCAATGCGATTTACAAAAATCAGCAGATCGTTACGCGAAAGAGCGAAATATGTGGACTTTCTCTTGGCAGACCGGCTGATCTTACGGATCATGACGTTTTCATAGATCTCTATTGGATTAAAGGAGAAAACCGGATCCTTATCTCTCGCGGAAAACTATTTATAGTGAGCGTCAGAATTAAAACTTAACTGTAGCGCACTCTTCGACGTCCTTGGGAAGATCCTTTCACGACCTTTTGCTATTACTATCTCGCTGAGGTAAGCTGTGCAGTTTCATCCAGGAAAAACTTGTCCTTGTACAGTTTCTTTATGTCAAACGTACGATAAGGTACCTTGGAATTTTCGAGGTGACCTGTACTGGGCTTAGAAATGGCGAGTGGTAAATATATTGGCTCTAGTCCTTTCTCAAAAACTCCGAGAGTAGTATTTTTTAAAAAAATTTGTCTTTGCTAGGTGCCTCCTTTAACACACATATACTTACACACATACTCGACATTCCTAAGGATAAGGCGGTTAACATTTCAATGTTTTTACAACGTTATACCTGTTTACCGTTTTCTAATCGCGCGCTGGATAGGTCGTCCCCGTCGGAAGTGCCAGGCAACGTAAACAAATGGACGATATTCCCGTCCCGTATGTTTCTGGGTGCTACGAAGGGAATTGCATTATCTCATACCTCACTTTGGATTACTTGTACGAGTAAAGTTCTTGCAGTTACCACGGCTGGACTATATCAACTCTCCTCGTCCTATGCCTTTGCTAATATACAGCTGCATTCAGACGAGTCAAAGTCCCTCACTTGTACAGGATTCGTACTGCGCGTGCGCGGAGTGCAGTGTCTTGTTGCGCGCGCAACTCCATGCTGGGTTCCTCGTGTGTTGGTTCAACGTTTATTCGACACCGGCCAGGAGCGTACGATGAAGAAAAATAGTGAGCGTCCCTTTTACACGTGTACAGATTAATTCGTTAATTATCTTCAAATGCAGTGTTCGTCCTCTTGAAGTATCATTACAAATGTTATCACAAACATCTCGAGAAATCTTACAACAGCATCCTGAAGTATATCAGATTGTTGCCATATAATCTGCAGTTGAAATGGTTGGAAGGGGCGTCGACGTATCAAGGGACGGTACTGGCACGCGCATACATTCCCCTTAGTCTGCAGTCGCTCCAGTAGGGGTCGACCCTGGTGCTGGCGAGTCTCGTGGGAGGAGCAAGAGCATGAAGAAGGGGCCAGGAAGGCAGAAGCCAGTAAGGGGCAAAACTAAAGGGGGCCTGTCCTGCATCAGTCTACTCTGCGTCCCTGCCAAAGGGAACGCTCTTTCTGGCGTTTCACGAGCGCGCCCCGTTCGGGACACCCTGCTGGGGGCCAACCAAGGGCTTTAGAGACCTTCTCGTGTTTTGTAAAAATAAAAAAAAAAGAACGGTCGTAAGATCGTTGTTCAGTCGTTCAGTTTGTTACTAGTTTAATATCTCTCCAAAGGAAGAAGCGCGTTCGCGCGCACGACGCTAACTTCACGCCGTGTAAGCGCATCAGAAGCGAGAGAAAAGACTCTACGCTCTTCCTACGCTGTTTCGTTTCGGCCTTTCCGATTGGCTGATCGGCATCATTCGTCGCCCCTCGCGACCATTCCCGATCTGCGACACGCACGCGATTTTCGTAGACAGTCGGACATTTTCCGTCCCGCATCTCGCTAAGCTCGACAAGTGACGGCTCCTCCAGTGTTGTCGTCATCGTCGTCATCGTCGTCGTCATCGTTCACGTTGATTCTTTTAATGCAAGCTTAAAGAACTGTTACGTGCGAGGTTTAAACAGCGGGAATAGAAACGATCGGTGTTTCGTGTTGCGAAGGACAATAGAGAAAAAGAGAGAGAAGCGTGACAAAAAGAAGAGCCTTGTGCACAAGGGAAAAAATGCTACTAGGGAATCCTAGGGGGACAGAAGGACAAGGACGCTGATACCAGTAAAGGAGATACGAGGACGTTACTCCAGTGTGGGTGGTGGGCACGAGGGGGCGATAGAGAGAAAAGGGATCGAAGGGCGGAGAAAGAGTGACGCCGAGTGCGAGAGTGGGAGCGAAGGAAGTACGAGAGAGACGCCAAGTCCAGCCTTAAATATCGATTTTGACATGGACGACCTACTATAGTCCGTCCAGCCGAAACGCGCACCTCGTGGCCTGACAGTTGACAGTCGTGCCTAGCTATAGACCTCCGTGCTTCTGTGTCAGTTCTGCCGTGAATCTAGTGCATCGAACCCTGATACTACTGCTTGGGAAGAGGAGACATTTTGACTCTCTGTATTTGTCTCTTGTCACACGACCTGTGCGCGTCGCCATAATCCTTTACGTTAACAGAGCGCCGTGAAGGTGACAGCGGATAAATAAATAGTGAAACGGTGACATATTTATTGCTATATGGTAACTTGATGTGGGCCATTGGTATGGACTGACATTTTTTTTCTCTCGTACGACTACGGGAAACGGGCACGCTCATCGATCGACCCGTAGTGCCAAGTGAGGAAGGAGGACTCTTCCTCTCGAGATGATGTACTCTCTGTGCTACTCCAGGTTAACTTCACGCGGATCCCGCCCTACGTTGCCACACGCAATCTACTGCCACTCGATTGATCTCGGCCATCGTTTAACCGCAAACCTACACGACGCCGCTCGAATGCTTCTCCGAAGCGACCACGCAACGATCTAAGGTTATACTCGCCTACGTGACATAATAACGCCGGCATACGAAACTCCATACAAACAGCAACCCACATTTTTAGAAATTCCACAATAATAATACATACCCCCCCACGTACGTAAATCGTGAAGACGCTGTTACGGCCTTGGAATCTTCACGAGATACACTGCTGCCAGACGTCAGAAAGGAATAAGTCGTCGTGAGGCGTACACTAAGGTTGCTTGTTTACCCATTCGAGGATTATTAAGAAAAAGAAAGGGGGGCCTTGCACGTAGAAGCTACCAGTAGGAAAGTGCCATGATTCTCGCAACAGCCTAGTGCAATATTCTATACAATGTCCTAAAAGAAGGAAACGCGTATCGTAACAGGGTGAGTGACTTTCGTATGCCCTAAGACTCGTGCCATCCGAAAATCCGTCGGACCCGCTCAACGATGACGGCATGGTGTCCCAGAGCGGGTTGAGAGTGAACCGAGCTACAAAAGGGAGCAGTGAGAGAATCGTAACCGGAAGAGAAGGGAGGGGAACAAGAGGTGGCGCAGAAGGTGCGGAAGGTGTTCAAGAAGTAGAAGGAGAGGCTAAGAATGGTCTCGAGGTACGGTGTGGCTACGAAGGAGGGTGCCGTTGGGGTCGCCGTTGGGGTTGGGGCGATGCACTGCCTCTTACCTCATTGCGGAGGACCTCATCATCTGTCGCCTCATCCTCAGAATCCTAATCACAACCATATACACCCCCATAACCATCACCCGCCGCCTTCGCCCAGTCCCCATGCTCATCTCAATCAGCTGAACCACGCTCAGCACCAACTGACCATCAACATAAACCATCATCAACATCAGACACAGCAAAGCCAGCATCAGCAGGCGCAGCCGCAGTATCGCATCATCACCGCTAGCGCCAGTAAGTGGACGAACGGACGACAATATTACAAAACGTCCGAACCGTACGTTTATCAGAACGTCACCGCAACCCCCAGTAAGTGGACGAGAGGACGAGCATATTCTCCTTCGGTTATGTTATTTCCTTTTTCTTTCTTCAATTGTTATTGTCCTTCCTACTTTGTATCGGGAGAAACCGAAGTTTAACGTAGACTCGCTGCCACTCACGAGAAGCCTAGGTGCATCTCGGTTTTTTTTTTTGGAAAAACAAATTTTTTTTTCGTTTCATCCCTTTACCACGTAACCAACTCATCCCTTAGACAATACAACCTTGCACGTACGCTCGCATGAAAAATTCCCTATGCGCTGTATTAACGTTGTTATAGATATTTTTCCACCCCATGTTTTTTTTTTGTCAATATAAGTACCTTGTCGAAGTGATCCGATCCCCAATTACTTAACGGATACCGCCTGCTAGGCTAAGCCGCACGCATCAGACACATCAGCGTCCGATGCGCCCGTAGCCACCGGGGAGAGGATTTTAATTCGGCTTACGCTTACACGAGCACACCGAGGGAGGTTGGGTACCTTAATATTAATAGACGCGATGGTGCCACCGCGTTCTATTTAACCGGACCCCGTGGTCTACTTAGGGCGAACAGCTGACTAAGGAATTCTCTCTCTTCCATACACACGATCACAAGAGCCAAGAAGACCTCTTGCTCATTCGCTGTTACGTTACTTGTACGTAACTTCAGACTTGCGCTTCTTCCCACCAATCTTCTTCGACCAATCTAACCTAACCTAACCTAACCTAACCTCTTAGTAAAATTATGCAGGACGAATAAAAGCTATGTCTCAAAATAGTACGTACATCTAGAAAAAACTAATGTCCACGTTAACCTCACTTACGGAATGGCTACACTACGGCGCTCAGTGAATTTCCTGCGACCTCGTGATTGTCCCTACTTCCGGCTCTCATCGTTCAACACGTATCTTTTCACTAGGCAATGCATCCGCGATCGTTATGACTTACTGTGGCAAGTCGTCCTTCATGGGAAGTTCGTGTAATTCGTCTTATTCTTCTTCAACGTCTAGACTCACTGTTCGACGTTTTTCCGGTTAGCCCACTTCCTCCATCTTTTTTCTTAACCCACCCCCGAGCTTCTCGTCATCTCTCTAGTAGCGCCCAATTTGTGCAAGTCGTCTACTCGACTTCCTTCAGACTCTATCTATATCACCCGTGGACCCCGTCGTGTCTCCTTGGAACGAAACTTTTTCACTTCCTGTGTCACTCTTCCACTCGGGCATTTCCCCGACTTCCTCACTCACGCTTTCGTGAAATCCGAGGCTCCAACGGCTCTTCATGGCAATTAGATTTCATACCCCCCTGATAACGTTACGTTGCCGCCTGCCTTCCTCTTATATAGCCTAACGTCCGATGTGGCATTGCTTTTACGTACGTACGCTATTGGTATTCTCTCCCGGGAAGTGTGTACACTCTTGTAGAGGTTAGGTTAACCTCTGAGCGGTTTATATATACCAAATAGCCCGTGCACAATGGTATGGTAGCGGTGGAACGATACTACGCGCAGACCTTGGTACCATGATGTAATCGCGCGATAGCCGGAGAACCGATTCTAATGCACCTACCCAAGTTGGCACCGTACTCCCAACAATTCTACCACTCGCAAATGGCCGCTGTTATAAAATTAACTGGGCGAACGATTAAACAAAGTTATACGTAATAATGCGGAAATAGGAAAGAGTCGTGTATCTGTCTATATATATTGTATGGTTATCTGTAATCGTAGATGGGGTTACGATGTCACGATAAAATACTGGCCCGACGCCCTTGTCCATTTTGACACAGCGACCGAGGACAATTATTATTTGTGTCGGACGACGTACACGCAGACGTTCATTCTATTTTATGTCATTTTATAGATACATATAGGAACGTACAGTTGAACAAGGTCTCGAACATGGACAGACCCTCAGGGTCAGGTTGTGTTTATGGTATGTGTATATATATATATATATATATATATATATGTTATTCATACAAAAAATCCTGGGCGTAGTCAGTTTTTTATTCTTTGTCCATTGGAATAATTATATAAATTATTTTATTAAGCGTTCTTTCGTGAACTGTCCTTTTTTTAACTCTTGGAATTCATTTCGTGTTGTACGCTTGTCTTTATCTGTGTCTCTCTTCTACTCGCCTTGATTATTTTATATGGTCAAGGTAGCTTAGACGAAGGCTATAATGAGTCTGAAATTCAAAGTGGCTTATTAATATCTTTTTCAAAATTTCCTCCTCGAATACGACGAATGTACATGCATAAAGAACATTGGGCGTATGCGTCATTAATCCGCATAGCCTTTGACTTCTTGTCCAGACTGTATATCGATGTTTTCTACTTCCGTTTTTGTCAATTCGCACTTGAGAAAAAAATTAAAGAAAACGTAAAACTCGCGAATCTCGTTGAGGAGGACGTTTTTATTTTACGACAGACGAATAAATTTAGCTTCACTCGATCGGAAAGCTCGAACCCCTCGACGTATTCACGTGGAGACGGCACGACCTGAGCTTGATATGTACCCGCAAATAGATTTGTACAAGTCGGTACAGGACAGATAGGTCACGGGGTCGGATTTATCCCGTGCTCCATGCAAAAATAACGTATCTCGAGAGTCATCGCTCGGGGTCTCTCTCGGTGCGAGGGTTAAATAATCGAACGTAGAACGTTAGCCCGAATAATCGTTAGACCCACCATAGACCATGAGACAACTATGGAGATACGCGACATTGACAAGGAAATAACCAGGCGTGTCCGTTCTATCTCTGACTACGGGTTTCTAGTGGGAGTTTAACGATTTAGGTTAGTTTTTAGCGCCCCGGGCGGTGCGCTAGACAATTCGCAATATAGGTCAATCGATAAATGCTTTCTTCCGCGTCGTGTGGAAGCGCTAAATCGTAGCATCGACGTCGTAGATGCACGCCTTGATCACGGGGTGAACCCTTGTTTAATTATCGTAGCTGTTGTGTTTACCTTTTGCGTTGCCTTGTATAGCTGTATTTATCTTAGATATACTTTTTTTTTTAGTTATGATTATCAGGAACAATCAATTTTGGGTGTAATGGGGACTGACACGACGTCCCTTTTGATCGTTATTCCTTGAAGTACAACGATTTTCCCTTTTCTTCCTTTATTATTATTCACAAGAAAACTTCTATCACGGTGGAAAATGATTGTGACGAGTTGGCTGCAAGGTTTTTTTCAGCTGGTATTGTAGTAGATAGACGTGTGCCTCCTGGCTTACGTATCGTACGGTGTGGAGAAACGCACGTGGCTAACTTGTGTGCGATTCTCGTATATGATTCCCACTGCATAGTACAGTCTGGACAAAGTACAGTCCGGAGATTCATTGTCCCTGTGGTGAGTTGTCACTGGTAGTCGGGAGTGTACTAGCAATCAGTATGACAATGCTATAGGTTGTGTGGATGAGGTTTCAGACTGGGAATTGATAACTGGGTGTATGAAGGTCTATTGTCGAGGGCTTTTGTTTCTTTTAATAGTCGAAATTCTTCTGGGTGCTGCGTGGCCTGTTGTATCTGACGAGAGGGTAGCTTCGACCGGAGTTTTTGCGGCAGTGACGTATGTCGGACGGGTGGAGATCTAACTTATCGGCGCCGCGTTGTAACCACCATATGCGTTTCTCTGCAAGGCGAAAATTTTCATTGAGATTGTATATTTTTTTTTTCTCTTGGCACACCGGATGTGACGTGTGCATTCTGCTCTGGACCCCGTTTTACACGGCTGCTCTGGGTCACGTTTCAAACGTTGCGTGACCTCGTGCGAACGCTATACAGTGACTAAATTCTTCAGCCGCTTGCTCCGCATGAGTAATTATTACGTGATCTATTACAATAGTGTTGATGCGAGGGATGTTATTCGGTTTCATGACGTTTGGGCTTTGATTTTATGTTCGTGATTTATTGCTTTGTACCCTCGTACTGTGACTGGGCTTTTTATCGGTTTGACGGTACACATTTAAATGTTTCTGTGTCCCTGAAGTAGCTGTTCAGTCTGCAGAAATACCGTGCAAATGTGTATTTACTCGGTCACTTTCTCCTGAGAATTTTTCTTAACGCTGCGCCTGGGTTTACTAGCTCCCTGGGAAAACAAGTTGTAAGACGGCCCTGTGACAGCTCTGGCCTCGCCCCCTTTAGTACCAATCAATGCGCTACTCTGACGACAGATGGCAGCACCAGTGTTGTCCCTGCCCACATGTGCAAACATGGCTTCCAACGAGCCTTCTCGTTGAATATTTCTGCCGAGTTTTTCGTGAATTATTCTGACTCTACGTAGAACGTGAACAATTACAAGTGGGATTAACGTTTAGAGGTGTTTTTCTATCGCTTCTCTGGTGCGTAGGAATTCGTTACTCGGTGGCCAAGCGAATCCAGCCATTGGCACACCTCTCGAAACACTGTGCAGGGCACGCGGAACGTTCGTTAATTTTCTTCAGTAATATATTACGCGTGCTTCCGGTGCCACGAATGTGAAGATAAACCTTCCTTCGTTGCGTTACCGAATGATCGACTCGGTCCAATTCGTTTAAGTAACGAGATATTTGGTGGTGTGCTCCAGTGACGGGTCTCGAGCTCAAAATATTGTACGACGAACCATTAACGTCGTGATATGCTGCTGTAATTGTCTTATGGAGTTTTCTGCCGGTTCGTTTAACGATGTTGCTAAGAACTTTTACTCGTCATTAGATAAAATCAAATTTACAAGTTGATTATCAGTTTGATATCTGTTACATTTTTCTTTAGTTATATATCTTGTTCACTATACGTCCTTGCTGTTGATTGTGAATAATCTTTTCTTCATTCTAAATATTTTAGACCACGTCATCGCTTTGATTTTTTCCAATTTTTAGATTAGGTTATATTAGTAACGTGTAATTAGTGAGTTTAAAGATTATTCTAATTGGTATTTGTTCATTGTTCATCAAAGGATATCGAACATACGGTATAGTCACCTCAGGAGCTTCGAATCATTGGTTCTCTTTCGGTCTGGGTATCAGAGCTTTCAAAATGTCAATATGTCTGGGCCATGCCGATGCTGTTGTAAACTTTAAAGCTGATACAGCATAACCAGCTTTCTGTATGCAGTGCAAAATATGGCAAACACCGCTGAATCAAATATGATACCCACGTACACTTACGTGGGGCCATATATAGGTCAGTGTGAAAGCATCATTCTGAGATGTATATAAATTACATAGGACGGCATGTGTGAAATATATTTAAGTCACTTAAAATTATAGCAGCTGTTCCCTCCAATACACACATAGTTGAATACATCAAAATTGTCTACTTATATTAGTTCTTGCAACAAATCTGCTTTCTCTTTTACCTATGTTAAGCAACCAGAAACGAATATTGTACTATTGAAATTATTATTTATCCCATACACACATGTATATATATATATATATATATATATATAGAGTTATTCAGTACAAACGCACCACCTGAACATGGTTCTACCATAGAAATCAAATGGACGGGCTAACTTCAGGTAGTGCGTTTCTACTGAATAACCCTGTATATCTAATTTTTAATAATTGGGCTGATCATAGTATAGCATTTCATTTGAGCTTAATTAAAATATCAGTCCACAGACCACAGTTTTAATAAGTCAAAATCAAAAATTCTTTACTGCGATACATACACATAATAACTGTTGTTTGAAGCATAAAAAAACTCAATTTAAAGTCAAATATGTTAAGGGTCTTATCATATATTATTAAGATGTGATGTTAATATTTGCTATAAAAAGAAAAACAAAAGTACATTTTTATGCGAACACATTTCCCCATATCATAGTTAGTCGTACGCTTCTGTATTTGCCCTTATCCTAATACTTTTCTATATTTCTTTTCAGGATCAGACTTTCATGTTGGACAGAATTACGGGGGGCAGCCAGGTGGGCAGGTGGCCGGGGGTGGGGGTAGTGTAGGTGTTCCCGGAGGTCGAGGGCCACCTTCCCTTGGAGGTATACAATCCATAGGGCAATCTACTGCAGGCATACCTCCAGGAGGACCGGCGGG